GATTTATACAGGAGGTTTCTATTGTCCTTCCAGTTCCATGAGAGGCTGTTTTATGGGAGCAGTCGACCAGCAGGTCGAGGTAATGTCTGCGTTTCTGAAGACAGTGACTCGGAACCAGAGGTAGACGAACCAGAATTGCTGGATAGTGGTGATGAATGCTTGCCACCGGATGCACAGGATGCAGAGATATCAAGTGATGATGAGGAGGAAGAAAGGAAAGAAAGGCCAGCCAAAAAGCAGAAAGTAATGAGGAAAAAGAAAACTTTTAGGATTGAGGAATACCCGGATGAGGAAGAGATCCATGAGAATATTGCTCTTCAAGTTTCATCTCAGTGGACCGTAGATGACATTCAAAATGATCCTTTGCCGGCATATGAACATGAAAAGCCTCTTGCAATTAAATGAATCTCAGGAATATAGGAATTGAAACTTGCATCACTTTGCAATTTGGCATTGTTGATATTTGCTTCCTTTTTATATTTTTGTAACAATTAAAAAATGTTTTGATACAAGTTCCATTTATGTTTTTTATATTGTCTGTTTGTATATTAAATTTAAAAAATTGTTTTGGTGTGTTTTATTAACAATTGCAAGTTTGCAACATAAAATTTTTTAATCCCTTTGTCAGGAGCAGCCTAATATTTTCGGTCTTCGGAGATTGGCAATTGCTCGAAAACTAACCATCAGAAATCAATTTATATGGGATCAGTGACCTTGTATTGAGTTACTCTATCCACCATAGGAGTTCAGTTCGAATTTCAAATTTTCGGACCCCTTGCGCGATGAAGGGTTAAAGTGTTCATATAGAAGGCACTAAAACTTTAACGGTAATCTGTTAAGAGTAACAAAATGACCTACTAAATAGCCTGGAATGGAGCTCACAGCAGTCGAAGGTTAGCTTGGTGACATTCTGATAGTCTGCAACATTCTCTTACTATGTGATGAGAAAATTTTAGAGCACTGGTTGGCAGCAAATATCATCTGCATACTCTGTTAATAGATACTTTTCAATTATCATGTATGGAAGGATTACACTCTCAAAGCACAAATTAAGGTTGGCATATTGGGAAATTAGTGTACTCACCAATTTGTGGTTGCAGGGGTTAATTCTCAGATCTTGGCTCCACCTCTTGACTTGCTACTCTCCAGATTCACTCCCTCTTAGCCTTGTGGGCCCTATCATACCTGCTCTTAAAACTATGTATGGAGGCTGCCTCCACCATTTCCTCAGGAAGATCATTCCACTTCCTCACTGCTCCAAGACTGAAGAAATACTTTGTAACTTAACTGTGGTTCACATGTGCCTTTAACTTTCAGCAGTGATCTAGAATTCCTGTTTCTCGTCTAGCATATCCCTGTCTTCTTCCTCATCAATTCATTAGTTTAAATTCCGTTAGTCTCTCCTCGTAGCTTGGGACCAAGCCTTGTTGCATATGTCTGCACTCTCTCCAGTTTCTTAATATGTATGTGTGTGTGTGTGTGTGTGTGTGTGTGTGTGTGTGTGTACTCACCTATTTGTGGTTGCAGGTGTGTGTGTGTGTGTGTGTGTGTGTGTGTACTCACCTAGTTCTCACCTAGTTGAGGTTGCAGGGGTCGAGTCCAAGCTCCTGGCCCCGCCTCTTCACTGGTCGCTACTAGGTCACTCTCCCTGAACCATGAGCTTTATCGTACCACTGCTTAAAGCTATGTATGGATCCTGACTCCACTACATCGCTTCCCAAACTATTCCACTTCCTGACTACTCTGTGGCTGAAGAAATACTTCCTAACATCCCTTTGATTCATCTGTCTTCAACTTCCAACTGTGTCCCCTTGTTACTGTGTCCAGTCTCTGGAACATCCTGTCTTTGTCCACCTTGTCAATTCCTCTCAGTATTTTGTAAGTCGTTATCATGTCCCCCCTATCTCTCCTGTCCTCCAGTGTCGTCAGGTTGATTTCCCTTAACCTCTCCTCATAGGACATACCTCTTAGCTCTGGGACTAGTCTTGTTGCAAACCTTTGCACTTTCTCTAGTTTCTTTACATGCTTGGCTAGGTGTGGGTTCCAAACTGGTGCCGCATACTCCAATATGGGCCTAACGTACACGGTGTACAGGGTCCTGAACGATTCCTTATTAAGATGTCGGAATGCTGTTCTGAGGTTTGCCAGGCGCCCATATGCTGCAGCAGTTATTTGGTTGATGTGCGCTTCAGGAGATGTGCCTGGTGTTATACTCACCCCAGAATCTTTTTCCTTGAGTGATGTTTGTAGTCTCTGACCCCTAGACTGTACTCCATCTGCGGTCTTCTTTGCCCTTCCCCAATCCTCATGACTTTGCACTTGGGGGATGAACTCAGGAGCCAGTTGCTGACCAGGTCTGCAGCTGTCCAGATCCCATTGTATTTCTGCCTGGTCTTCGATTGAATGAACTCTTCTCATCAACTTCACGTCATCGCAAACAGTGACACCTCGGAGTTTATTCCTTCCGTCATGTCGTTCACAATACCAGAAACAGCACTGTGTGTGTGTGTGTGTGTGTGTGTGTGTGTTAGTTACCATTTGGTCCTAGCACATGTCGATTAGACACTAGGCCTGTTGTATGTGCATGGCGTGTGTGTGGTGTGTGTGTGTTGTGTGTGTGGTGTGTGTGTGTGTGTTAGTTACCATTTGGTCCTACGCACATGTCGATTAGACCTAGGCCGTTGTATGTGCATGCGCAGCGGTGTGTGTGTGTGTGTGTGTGTGTGTGTGTGTGTGTGTGTGTGTTGTGTGTGTGTGTGTTATGTGTGTGTATGTGTGTGTGTGTATGTGTGTGTGTTGTGAGTGTGTGTGTGAGTGTGTGTGTGTGTGTGTGTGTGTGTGTGTGAGTGTGTGTGTGTGTGTGTGTGTGTGTATGTGTGTATCATGTGTGTGTGTGTGTGTGTGTGTGTGTGTGTGTGTGTGTGTGTGTGTGTGTGTGTGGTGTGTGGTGTGGTGTGTAGGTTCCATAGTGCTAAATATAACTTGCCAGCTTTTAAAAATTTATCAAATTAGCATATTTATAGGAAAACTCTTAATTTGAAAGTATCATACAGCTTTTGAAGAGTGGTAAGTAATCAGGTTTGATCCAAACAGAGGATAGCTCCAATTCCTTGGATCAAGAGACCTCCCCCTGGCATTAATGTACCCTTTGCAGGGAAGTTTACTAAGTCATTTACATAGGTAACTCTTATTCATCTATATGTACAGAAGAGTTTGTGGATAACTGAGATCAGGATTGCTTAGCTAAGCTAGTGATCATTTACTCAGCCACACTAGGTTGCAGTGTAAATTATTTTGTCCAAGGTTAGAGTCTGAAGGCATCATACAGCAAGGAACATGTTCTGTACTTCATCAGGTCCAGGTGCCATAAGCTTGTATTCTGACAATGTCAATGTAACTTTGAGGAGTGTAAAAGGTACAAAATGGGACTTATCACTATGACAGGTTAAATTTAAAATCTAGTAACAGATTCCCATACTGGCTTGAGCTGGAGGATGCTAAACTAGAGGTAGTCCTTGAAAATCTCAAGTAATGTGACTCCTGATAGCTACTGCCATGTCAGTTGGCTAATTTCTTGCCAGCAATGTCAAGGACAGGTGGTGGATTGGAAAAGCACTTGCTCTCCAGTTTTCACGCTTTCTAAAATGTATTCATAACAATACTAGCATTCTGAGTAAATTATTATAATCATATTAAGCACTAAACCTTAGAGGGTCATACAGCACTGCAGAGAAGGATGTGTGAGTGGAGGAGTGTGTGTATGCAAAGGTGATAAGAAAAGCAAGTGCAGAAGTGTGATAGGGCAAGAATTAGTGGCATTTAAAGATGTAGGCATGCCAATGAATGCTGTACATTTGATTGCAAGTACATATAACACAACAAGCATACTTTATTTGAAATGTAGATGGCAATCAGCAGTATGAGTGTCATGTAGAAACACTACACAGTGCACGTCAGGTATATAGCCCAGGTACAATCGAGAGACCACTGAAATTCACATTTGAGAGAATATTTATCCAGGGGTCTGGAAAACAGCAACGGACACAGCTGAGAAAAGGAAAACGGTAGAAAAAAAAATAGATTCAACAATTTATAAATAGAAGTGTCAATGGGAAGACAAATAGTAAAGCAGGTTGTAAAGTGTTCCCAACCTCTAGATAGATCATTTAGCATCCTATCAGAAATGCTGCAGCATATGGCAACTGTCAGCAGCTTTAGCACAGCCATGGAGTAGGTAAAAGCTGTCATTGTCAATTTCTTGGAAGCAGCAGCAGTCAAATATTATCGTGGTCATGCTTCCAAGGAGTCTAATGAATGTCTTCACTTTGGGGAATCAAAGATGGTTGTCCTCCACTGCAAATATAGATGGGTATAGTGAATGACAGTTACTGATGTGCCAGCCACTTTTTAAGGGTCTAAAGAGAATATCTACTTGTATGGCATCTGTACCCATACAATGCAAATTCGGTTGAGAAATGTATGTTAAGTAATTCCATGGCTAACCAATGACAGCAGTGTATTATAATTCACTATCACAGAATATTATACTGGGTGTTCTTGGCTGCCACAAAAAAAAAAAAAAGAGTATGTTTTCCAGTGAAAAGTAAAATCTAAGGGTGGTGGAGCTATGATGTAACAAATGCTTAAGTGTTCAACAATATGCAAACAATTTTGCACGTAAGGGATGTTCTACATACGTATATTCACGTAAAGTGCTATACCTATGACAGTCACTGAACACCATAGAGCAGAGGTGAGAGTTAGCAGAAAGGATAAAGAAATGGGCGGTGATGATGGAAGATGTTAGCAAAAAAGTAGCGGAGCAGAGGGTTCACAGTTGATGTAGCAAATCGGCATCATTTAATAAATTATAGTAAAGTATCTTCATTAAAGTAGAATTTTCAAAGCTTGCATATAAAATTATCAGATACAGTATTATAATAATCAATGACACAAGTTTCAAGAGAAAATTGTTGTTTATTCAACTATATCTCTACTTTCTTCTAGCTGACACTTTTTTTCTAGTCATGTTATCTGAACAGTTATCACCTAATTTTCACAGACTTGCATTTAAAGAATGGACAAGAATTTGTTTTTCTCTCTCCTCTGTCAACAATGGGTCTCACCACTATCAGTTCCATTCACATTTCTGTCTTATGGGCAAATAGAATAACAGAACAGCAGCTATACATACTGAGGCATTTTTTTTTTTTTTTGTTCTTCAGTGATTTAAATGGCCAACCAAAACAGCACATTTTATAAGGTACTGATACACAATACTCATTTCTTAGATGTGTGTTGTAACATCTTAACTTGTTGTAGATTTCACAAACTGTTGGAAGATTTCTTAATGTATATTCAAAGATGCACCGAGTCTATCAAAAACTCTGGTTTTAAAAAAGTAAACCTAGTTCAAATATTATATACATTTTTTCCTTGCACATAAGCACTTACTGGAAACAGTTTTCTACCTCAGTGCTGTACAAGAAATAGTAATAGCATAAAATAAAAATAGTCTGAATTAAACCACAAAATTAATTTCATCTTATTTTACTTTTGTTATAAAATATGACAAACAGCAGTATCAAAAGAACAATATTAACTGTTCTTTGAGGGATCTTTTCTTTACTTTTAATCAGCATAGTAAAATATTAACGTACAAAAAATAACCTAATTTTTGTACCTTGAAATAGGTACAAAAAATAAGTGATACACGATCGAAAAATAATTAATAATAATTATATAAAGTTAATACATTATTGTAAAAATGATCTACCCTCTACATTTACAAGTACAATTAATAATGAGTTACCTGAACAACTCGTTCCATGGCTTCAAGTGGCATATGCTCAATGTGCTCAACATGAGCAATATGAAGACCATGACCCACATCTGACACATGGTCAATACCATTAGTTATTTCCTCAAAATGAGCAGGTCGACACCTTCAAGTCAGGAAGTCCTTGAACACTCTGTTCTAAAGCATCCATATGAGGATCCACACTATGCTGCTGCTGCTGTAGGAGTTCAGAACTACTAGCTGCATCTTCTAATACCTGTGTATCACCATTTTCAACTTTTCCAGATCCCATAAATTCTACTGGTGTGTTTGGATCCTCTTCATATTCATCATCATGCATAATGTGACCCAGCTCATCAAGTTTAGTATGGCGAGTAATACGAGTGGGTCTTGCTTTTGGTCTCCCACGCTTTGCCCTTGTACGCCCCCTGCCACGCCCACCACGATTTACTGTTCTCTTGGGTACTGACGATATCATAGAATCAGCAGAAAGGGACTTACGTGGACGTCCACGTTTTTTGCCAGTTGGAGGAGCACCGCATTTCTTCAAGTGTTTTTGTAAATACTGATTTGTTTTGAAAACCTTACCACACCGACAACAAGCAAAAGGCCTCTCATCAGTGTGAAGTTTATGATGACTTCTCAAATCTCCTTTTGAACGAAATGCAGCAGCGCAGTCCACACACTTGTAAGGTCTTTCCCCAGTATGAATGCGTAAATGAATTTGTAAAGAAGCATTCTGAGCAAAGGCTGCTTCACATATCTGGCATGTAAATGGCCTCTCCCCAGTATGCTTTCGCATGTGATTTCGTAAGTGTGTACTAGTGACAAATGAATCCTCACATATGCCACATATATACGGCCTTTCACCAGTATGAGTTCTTTTGTGGCCAGTTAAGTGTGAAGAGCGAGAAAAGGTCTGGCCACACTCAGAGCATGTATACGGACGTTCACCTGTGTGAATGCGCTTATGTGCTTTTAAATTTGAACTCTGAACAAAGGATGCACCACAGTCTTCACAAATATAAGGACGTTCACCCGAATGTATCCTGCCATGAGACTTCAAGTTGGATGAGTTTGAAAATGTAGCACCACACTCATCACAGAAGTAGGTGCGCTCTGTTGGTGTTGTCCGTGGTTTGGGTCGAGATGCTGGTGGTTTGGGTCTGGGTGGTGCTGTTATAATTTCTTGAGGATGGTGGTGGTGCTGAGGCATGGCCAGTTGTGGAGCTTGCATAGGCGGTGTGACCAGCAAATTATTGAATGTGTTGTAATCATACCATCCCGTATGACCTGCTTGCACTAGATGGTCCATATATACAGTGTTCATGTTCACAGTATTGTGGGGAAGTGCCATGTTGCTATTAGCTTTTGGCTCCAACCTCACAATGCTGGCTAAAAATGCTCACTTGCCTGAAATTAAAATTTAAAATAAGATATAGTACTGAATTTTCAATACACATTACAAGAGAATAAATCAAACTTATTTATTTAAACAAAATTCTACCCCTCTTTAGGGTTAAACATTGTTACAGTACAAGCCTGGTATCCTCTTTCTAAAATGTGATTTTTTGTACAGTAAACTTCAGAGGTAAGAGGTGACCATCAATTGCAAAAATTCATAAGAAGCACAATAAGCAATGTTTACCCTATTAGAAATCTTAGCTCCAGGTAAGTAGTCTTGTTCAATAAAATATTTAATTTTAAATACAATGGACCCTTGAGTTTCATAAGCCTCGCACTTCGTAAATTTCACCTTCCAATGACTTTTTTCGTCAAAATACGTATAGCCTCACGGTTCGTCGGTTGTTCGGAATGCATATGAGCAGCCTCAAAGCATCCACACCACACAAAGGCACCCCACACACCATTTCCAGTCAGTGTGGCATTGTTCATTGGCGAGTGACCATCACCCCACGCGTTATGATACATTTCGTAATACGTATTCCATTCTTTTTTGTGCTTGCAACTGCTAAATAAGCCACCATGGGCCCAAAGAAAGCTTCCAGTGCCAACCCTTTGGTAAAGAATGTGAGAAACATGATAGAATTCAAGAAAGAAATCATTGCAAAATATGAAAGTGGCGTACGTGTGGCCCATCTTGCCAGGATGTATGGGAAGCCACATACGTATAACCATTGCTTCCATCATGGTGAAGAAAAAGGAAATCAAGGAAGCTGTTGTTGCAAAAAGGGGTAGATATGCTCACAAAGAAGAGATTGCAAATACTCAAAGATGTTGAGAATTTGGTGTTAGCGTGGATCAACCAAAAACAGTTAGCAGGAGATAGTGTTATGCAGTCGATAATGTGTGAAAAGGCAAGGCGCTTGCTTGCTGATCTTGTAAAGAAAATGCCTGCAACGAATGATGTTAGTGAATTTAAAGACAACAAAGGCTGGTTTGAGAGATTTAAGAAGCGTAGTGGCATACACAGTGTGGTAAGGCATGGCGAGGCTGCAAGTTCTAACAAATGTGTGGCTGAAAAATTCATGCAGGAATTCAAGGACTATGTAGAGGCTGAAGGATTCATCCCCCAACAAGTGTTCATTTGTGAAGAAACAGGCATCTTTTGCCAGAAAATGCCAAAGAGGACCTACATCATGCAGGAGGAAACGGCATTGCCAGGACACAAGCCTATGAAAGACAGGTTAGCTCTCATGTTCTGTGGTAATGCTAGTGGGGGTTTCAAAGTGACGCCTTTACTGGTGTATCACTCTGAAAATCCCAGAGTGTTCAAGAAACAGTGTCACTGAGAGTAAACTGTGTGTGATGTGAAAGGCTAACAGTAAGGCATGGGTCATGAGGGAAATTTTCCTTGATTGGTTCAATGAAGTGTTTGGCCAGTGTGAAGAAATACCTCCTGGAAAATAAATTGCCACTCAAGTGCCTCCTGGTAATGGACAATGCTCCTGCTCATCCTCCAGCCTTGGATGATCAAATGGTGGAGGAGTTTAGTTTCATCACAGTGAAGTTCTTGCCCCCTAATACTGCTCCTCTCATCCAGCCCATGGTCATGCAGATCATTTCAAACTTCAAAAATCTCTACACCAAAGCAATGTTTCAAAAGTGTTTTGATGTGACCTCAGACACTCAGTTGACCCTAAGAGAGTTCTGGAAAGATCACTTCAATATCCTCCATTGCATAGGCCTTACAGATAAGGCTTGGCAGGGAGCGACTTCCAGGATGATGAACTCTGCTTGGAGAAAATTGTGGCCTGTGTCCTCGGCAAAGATTTTGAAGGGTTTGAGGCTGACCCTGACAACACTATACCAGTTGTGGAATCTATTGTGGCATTGGGGAATTCCATGGGGTTGGATGTGACTGGCCAGGATGTGGAAGAGTTGGTGGAGGACCACAGTGAAGATTTAACCACTGAAGAGCTGCATGACCTTCATCTACAACAGCAACAGAACACAGCTCAGGAAATTGCTTCAGAGGAGGAGGAAGAGAGATGGAAGAAGGTGCCTTCTTCAAAGATTAAGGACATTTTTGCAAAGTGGAGTGAGGTGCAAACATTTGTGGAGGAACATCACCCTGACAAAGCTGTTGCAAGCCGTGTCAGCAACATTGTAGACACATCAGAAACACAGCTCTCTGGAACAATTTTTTGAGCAACAGGGGTCCAGTGACTCTCATGCTGGTCCTAGTGGCATTAAAAAACAAAGAAGGGAAGTAACCCCAGATAAGGACTTGGTACCTAAAGTCTTTATGGAAGAGGATTCCCCTTCCAAGCAACAGTGTAACTTCTCCATCCTCTCCCCTCCTCCTGTCTTCCATACACCAACAAAAGTCTTCAATAAAGGTAAGTGTGATGTTATTATTGTTTTATACTTGATATCAGATTGGAGGGAGAGAGTATGGAGGAGGTGAATGTATTCAGATATTTGGGAGTGGACGTGTCAGTGGATGGGTCTGTGAAAGATGAGGAGAATCATAGAATTGATGAGGGGAAAAGGGTGAGCGGTGCACTTAGGAGTCTGTGGAGACAGAGAACTTTGTCCTTGGAGGCAAAGAGGGGAATGTATGAGAGTATAGTTTTACCAACGCTCTTATATGAGTGTGAAGCATGGGTGATGAATGTTGCAGTGAGGAGAAGGCTGGAGGCAGTGGAGATGTCATGTCTGAGGGCAATGTGTGGTGTGAATATAATGCAGAGAATTCGTAGTTTGAAAGTTAGGAGGAGGTGCGGGATTGCCAAAACTGTTGTCCAGAGGGCTGAGGAAGGGTTGTTGAGGTGGTTCGAACATGTAGAGAGAATGGAGCGAAACAGAATGACTTCAAGAGTGTATCAGTCTGTAGTGGAAGGAAGGCGGGGTAGGGGTCGGCCTAGGAAAGGTTGGAGGAAGGGGGTAAAGGAGGTTTTGTGTGCGAGGGGCTTGGACTTCCAGCAGGCATGCGTGAGCGTGTTTGATAGGAGTGAATGGAAACAAATGGTTTTTAATACTTGATGTGCTGTTGGAGTGTGAGCAAAGTAACATTCATTAAGGGATTCAGGGAAACCGGCAGGCCGGACTTGAGTCCTGGAGATGGGAAGTACAGTGTCTACACTCTGAAGGAGGGGTGTTAATGTTGCAGTTTAAAAACTGTAGTGTAAAGCACCCTTCTGGCAAGACAGTGATGGAGTGAATGATGGTGAAAGTTTTTCTTTTTCGGGCCACCCTGCCTTGGTGGGAATTGGCCAGTGTGTTAATAAAAAAAAAAAACTTGATGTCTCATTGTTTTCTGTATGTAAATCTGTATTTAATATAAAAACAATATTTTTTGTTAATACTTTTGAGTGTCTGGAACGGATTAATTGGATTTACATTATTTCTTAAGAGGAAAATGGTTTCGCCATTCGTAAATTTCGCCTTGCATCAGACTCTTTGGAACAGATTAATTACGAAATTCGAGTGTTAATTGTAATATTCTACATTTTCATTACATATTTATTTTTCAATGAATTTACACCTGAAACCTATTAGCCAGGAGCATTTGCCACTTGGAAATCTGTCTGGAAAATGCAACAATGGATTTGCAGTGTTATCTTTCACATTCTTGCAAAGTACAGTGGACCCACGGTTAACGAACTTTTTTCACTCCATAAGTATGTTCAGGTGCCAGTACTGACCGAATTTTTTCCCATAAGGAATATTGTGAAGTAGATTAGTCCATTTCAGACCCCCAAACATACACGTACAAACGCACTTACATAAATACACTTACATAATTGGTCGCATTTGGAGGTGATCGTTAAGCGGGGTCCACTGTACAATGATATGGCACTGCCAGACATAATTCAAATTATATTAATTACACTGTTCCAAAATCCACGTAAAGAGAATTCAAATAAATCTAATATGCTGTGAAAAGTGTGCTGATGTTAAAAATTCCCCTCATCAATAATCGTTCTCATCAATGACAACAATATCATTGTCAGTGTCAGCCTGAGATCTGGGTAGTAAAAGCAAAGCATCTTCTTGTTGTCCCTACCCTACTGCTACCTTCCTCCCTTCTCCTACTGATTGCTGCTGGCAGCACTGCAAAAATGAGATGATACCTAACCAGGTTATCATATCCATATATTTGGAGTTATTAAGATTCTTACTGTTTTTTAACACTCCATCATTCTGTGCATGTAAAGAAGAATGTCCTGAGATTGTTTTTTTAGTCACTGAAGTGACTGAAAAACAAACTGAACTAAAAATTTTTTTTTGATCTGTGGTCACTGAAATCACAATTTAAGAGTTTTTACGTATCAGAAGAGTTCAAAGATACAACTAACAGAATACAGTATTAAGTTTTATAAAGCTGAATGACTTGGACAGTGAAGTGGACAGCCTTTGTGAATTAATTTTAATAGTTTCCTACCTCCCAAGGTAGTAGGCTGGAAGACAGCAACCGCCCAAGGAGGTACTACCGTCCTGCCGAGCAAGTGTAAAACGTAAGCCTGTAACTGTTTTACATGATGGTAGGATTGCTGGTGTCCTTTTTCTGTCTTATAAACATACAAGATTTCAGGTATGTCTTGCTACTTCCACTTACACTTAGGTTGCACTATACATGCATGAACAAGCACATATATACACACCCCTCTGGGTTTTCTTCCATTTGTCTTACTAGTTCCTGTCCTTGTTTATATCCTCTTATCTCCATGGGGAAGTGTAACAATTCTTCCTCCATAAGTCATGCAAGTTGTAAGAGGTGACTAAAATGCCGGGAGCAAGAGTCTAGTAACCCCTTTTCCTGTATATATTACTAAGGTCAAAAAGAGAAACTTTTGCTTTTCTTTTTGGGCCACCCTGCCTCAGTGGGATACAGCTGGTTTGTTGAAAGAAGAAGTTTCCTACCTTAGTGAGAAGTGGCCAGAATGTTAAAAAAAAAAAAAAAGGTCAAAAAGAGAAACTTTTGTTTTTCTGTTTGGGCCATCCTG